CGTCGGCAGGACCGCTGGCTGGATATGCGTAAGTATCGCGCCACCTTTTTTCAACGTACGAGCAGTACTCACCAGCTTCTTAAAGTCTGCCGCCTCCTCACGCGCGTACCAAGCCCCGACTAGGTCCTTCCAAGCCTCCCCCAAGACTGGCCCGTTCTCGAGCAGCTGCTCTTTTGCAGCATCTGCCCATTGCGCGGCATCGTCGTCCTCGCCCATGCCCTGCCTCTTTCCCCTCTTTCCAGACTTCTTTCTCCCGGGCCCCCGCGTCTCGACATCGTTCTCCTCCTCCTCATTCCCATCCCCATCCTCTTCTCCCAACCCCAAGTCGTCCTCCTCGTTCTGCCTCCCCTTCCCACGCTTCCGTTTCGTCTGGGAATTCGGCCCTTCACCAGCCGCCTTGCGTTTCGTCCTGGCGGCGGCTTTGTCCGCGCCTCCCCACGTCACTGCCGCCCCTGGCCCCAATCCCAGACTCGCCATCGTCGCCCTGTTCCTACAAATATTCTCTTCCCGCACTAGCTCATACGCCAAAGACCAGCACAAAATGGCCTCCCGCTGTCGCCTATCGCCCGCCGACATTGCTTCCAGCGCCGCCCGCAGGTACTCGCCGGGCGGGTTCTTCCAGTGGGCGAAGGCGTCCTTGTCCGTGTCGTCCCCGTCGCCCTCCATCGCGTCATCCTCGCGACACGGCACGTCTGGCGACGCTCCGGTCCCGTCGCTCGGGTCTGCGCTGCTCGGGTCTGCGCTCAGGGTAGCACCACGGCTCGGTCCGGCACCGGCACTAACTTCTGAAGGTGCGGACTGAGTCGACGCGCCGAGTATGCCTGAGCTCGGTTGGCCTTCCGCAGTGCCAAGGGAGGTGGAAGCCGTGCAGGTTGCAGGGGGAGCATCCACAGGATCCGCTGGCGCTGTCGTCGCCGCCGCGCATGTCGCCAAATCTAGGTCCGTCTGTCGTTAGCCATGCGAATCAAGCCTGCTCGCCACTTACAAGCCTGGCCCACAAAACGGCTGAAGTACTCGACTGCGGCGTCGTACTCGGCCTTGTTCGCTCTGGAGAAGTCGAGCTCGGGTGGCGACTCCGCCGACGCACCTCCCGTCCAGCTGGAAGCCTTAAGCATTCTGCCTGAGGGAGGCCAAGTCGATGACTTACCTCGTGAGGCGCACATTCCTTGCCTCGTCCATCCGCCCGGCGAACATGACTACCGTATAGCCGGTGTATGCTTGGAAGGCGTCGAGGAATGCGTTCACCACCGGCGTCGCCTGCGTGCGCGCCCTGTTGGACGCTCAGTGCCCCTGCTCCCACATTCCCCGCGCAAAACTCACTTTTGTTGCTCCACTGGATCCGCCGACGGCAAACCATCAACCGCATCCCGATGCGCCAGTAGGCACTCCTCGTGCTCCTCACGCGCCTCGCTCCTGATCCGCTCGTGGACATCGGCAGGCTCCTTCAGCCACAACGCCTTCGCTACTTTGTTCCTCAGCTTCAGCTGCTCCTCACGCCCTCGATTTTTGTACCCGCGCACTTCAAACTCGGCATCAACCTTGCCTTTGAAGTCCTCATGCGACATGTAGAATTGAATGTCGGGGCAGCGTCGGGGTGACTTGCCCTCTGGCTTGCGCAGCTGTTTCAGCACCGCCACCCAGGGATTATTCTTCTTTGCGCTTGCCTGTACCTGGCGCGCAAACCATCAGATAATTTTCTGAAACTGGTGAGCATGCATAAATCTCTTACTGCGAAGCAATACTCACATTCTCCACATCCTCCGCCGTCTTCTCGTACAGATCCTCCTCCTCCTCGCCGACTGCCCCCGCCCGTAGCTTCTCCATCTCTTCCTCGCCCTCGGGTGGCTCCTCCTTGAGCGCTAGACGCCAGGGAATTTTTTCGAAATATTCAGGCATCAAAGCATCCCAAAAACTCTTCCCCGACCCACGGCGGCGCTTGGTTTTGCGAGCGGCGTACTCCTCGTACGCCGCAAGCTTGCCCTGAAGGAAGGAGAGACGGGCGCCGTGGAAGTTACCTGGGTTGCCCCTCTTCTTCACAACGGGCGGTGCATTGGGGTCCTCCGCGTCGGCGTCTGCTGGGTTTGCGACCGCCTGCGAAGCGCTCTTTCTCGCCTTTCGTCCTTTCTTCTTTTTGGACCCGCCCGCGCCCGACGCATCGGCGGGAAGTACGTCGTCGGGGTCATCCGCGAAAGGCAGGTCGTCGGGAGCAGACGTGTTAGGGTTGGGTGGAGTTGCGTGGGGGGTGGCCATGGCTTTTTTTTCTGGACAAAGCGGACGGTCTGAGACGGGCACGCCAGTTTCCAAAGCTTCTCGCCAGATGACATTTATTAGGTACTAACCCGAATATGATGTACCTACCAACTTTTGTGTATGAGTCAAAAAATATATGTTTTGTTTCACAAGCAGGGACACTGCGAGGGCTACAGATAACGATACAGATATATATACAAGCGGCGGGAGGGAGCCAAGAGTGTCTGATATGTATGCAGCAAGATAGGTAAAACACCCGCAAGAAAATCGCCACCCTACGCCAAGAACTTAGCGAGTGGCCACCTCGTCCGACACCAGCGACGAAGGCGGGGCCTCCAGCTGCTCCTCGAGGCGCTGCTGAAGCGCGAGCAAGTCTGCATGACGGCTCGGGGTCCAGTCGCACACGATGTGCGTGCGGCCCCCGCAGCGCACTGGTGACACGGGGTGGGGAGGAAGGTGCAGCCTTGCTCCTCCGCGCCGAGGCTGCGCATGCGAAAGGCCGGTACGTCGTCGGGGTGGGGAGCCTCGCCGCGCGCGCATTGGAACACGTCGAGGTCGTAGTCGGGCGCGTCGGAGTGCGCGTCGGAGTGCGCGTCGGGGTGCGGGACGTAACGATTGAGGGAGGTGGCGGCAATGACTGGGGCGGACACCAGTGGGTCGGCGTTGAGCTCCTCCTCGGAGATGGGGGCGCTGTATAGGACGCGGTCCTCCATCGGCTGCTCGTGCGTGTGCAGGCTGTGGAGGTGGTGGAATTCACCCGTGTGCCGGAGGAAGCAATTGGCGTGCCAGGTGTGATACGCCGCCGCTACATCGTGCACGACCTCGTTGAGAGGCTGGGCATGCCGGGCACTGCGGAGGGCGAACGCGCTGGGAGGGGAGTAAATGTCTCTGGCCCATCGCGGCGTCGAGGCGCTTACCGATTAGTGTACAGGCCCGGTTGGGCGCCGTCATACACGACGAGGAGCATCCCCGGGGGCGAAACGCCGTCGAGTCCTGCGTTCTCGTCCCTTGCCGGGTGGTACGGTGGGTCACAGACGCGGGCTAAGACCCAGTAGATGGGGCTGTCGGGCGAGGACATTAAGCGAGTGTTGGCAGATGAAATTTTATTTTCACACGTGCCCACTTTAATTCCTAAATAGCCCGGACTTACCGACGTCCGCGGGCCGATCAAAACGCGGCATTTCCCAAAGCGGAGAAGCCGATCACGATTGACTCGCGGATCACGGCGTTCCAAAATGGGTGGTGCGGTCGCGACCATTTGTTCGGCCTCTGGTATCTCACTTGCTCCACATATAAGATTGTACCCTTGAAATTTGGGGCCAAGAGATACGCCCGGACCCCGCTGTAGCCTTAAGTTTTCCATCTGGGAAGGTTTGTGCATGCGCGCAAGAATCGACCAAGGCATATGCTTTACACCATGTACAATGCCAGACCCTACGCACACAATCCTTGCGCCATAGGGTCAATCGGCGGCCTTGGTGGGAAAAGCATACCTGTAGCTGCGGGCAAATATAGGGACTCTAAAAATGCCTCTCTTGATAATTTTTGCGACGCCGGAGTCCCCGCTGTGCAGGACCTCGTTGGTTGCGACCGTTATGGAAATGAGGTGCTGGTGGAGATTGCCTGCCCACATACCCTATAATTGGGGTGGCGCTTTTATGAGCTAACTGGGATATGCGGGGGGGATGTCTCCGTCATCCTCTGCAAGTAAATAGTTTTATTTCTACCCCCAGAGCGCTCGGCCGACATGGCTCGTGGTTGCGACCGCTCTGGTAATGAGCGTGACCTATGTGTGACGCCGCCAGCATCCACTCATCTCATCCCCGCGATGGTTCGTGCATCCAAGCGCACGCCGGAGGAGAAGGCAGAGGCCCGACGCGAGAAGAGCAGGAGGTACAACGCGAGCGAACGGTGCGTGACCCCCAAACTCGGCCTCAAACTCCCTGATGCGCAACGCAGGGGCAAAGCCGTCCGTGCGCAGGGATCCGCCGCCAGAAGCCATGGACGCCGCAAGGTTGCAAAGCGCCACATTACTCGGGTGCCACCGCTGCCCTCTGGTGTGCATGAGTGGTCGGGCGTGCCCGTCTATCCAGACGACCCCATTCATGTGTCCGCCTACGCTGGCACCGACGATTTCGATTTCGCCCCCATCGATGCCTTTCTGGACTCCCCGCCATTTAACATCCCCGAGCGCGAGCGCGAGGCTGCGAGGGCCCCGCACCGTTATCGCCGTGACGGGACACTTTGGCAGCGTGAACGTGCGCTGGATGGCTACCTGGAGCGCAGACACGTCGAAAAGCGGCACTTCTGGGCGGAGCGCGCTGCAGTTCTCAAAGCTCATCTTCTGCACGACGAGATGAGGGCGGAAATCAGCGCACAGTTGGAGGGATGGGGCCGGATATTGGATCTAAACGAAAGTTTTGTGACCAACTCGGTGGAATGTGTGATGTGGGAGCGCCATCTCGTCTGGAAAGCTCGGTACATAGACGACCTGTACTATCTACGCTTTGTACCTGCGGCTGTTGCATAGCAAAGTATTTTTTTTGGGCTGATAAGTCGTTGAGTCACGTTGCAGAGAAACGAATTCGAGAGTACGTGTACCGCGTTAAAAATGAATAAAATTAGACAAAAAATAGCCAAAAAAATATACGAATACTCTACAAAAATTGAGGGATGGCCCAGAGGGGCGCCCACGCATGGTATCTCTGGCCGGGAGGTACCATGCACGGGCGCCCCCCTGGCCACCCCTTGGACCACAGCAGGAGTCGAACCTGCGTCTTCGCAGCCCCGAGGAGCGGCAACGTGTTAACCATTACACTATGTGGTCGTTAGGGTTGTGGCCACGGCATAGGCCTTTAGGCTTCAGCTTCAGATCGAGACTTAAGCTTCATAACCGGCAAGATTCTAGCAAGTTGGCGAAGCGGCGGCTTGAGTCGAACAGCAAGAGTATTCCCGAGAGGCAGTTTTGAGTCAAATCCAGCGGGGTGCGATAGGTTAGGTTCGTTTAAATTTGAAAATGGCAAGTTAGGTGACACGTGATCGCCACAAAACTTTGTCTGCCCTTTCCAGCTCACACCGTGGGCCTATCACAGCATACACCACTCGTCAAGGCAAACACGTCGGGGCTTCAAGGTATGCACGTTTGCAGACTTCTTCGCGTGCCCCACTCTTTTTGGTGTACATTCTCCGGCCGCTGGATCCGCCCTTGGAACCGCGCCGCACGCGTTTTTTTGGCCTTTGTCTCCGATTTTTCCTTCGAGCTACCGCTTACTCCCTCGCAGGTCACAGTATCGACCTTGACACCAGAATGGATGGGCGCGCCAAAGATGAAGGCCTTGCCAAGGGCGAGCTTGCCCTCCCTATAACCTGTCCCATCCAGAACAACCGCCTGGTTTACGTTCAGTATGACATCGGCTGCCAATGGAACATCACACGGGCGTGCAAACATGCAGACGGCGAGTCCGTGGAACGCGGTGCAAGGAGAGACCAAATGGATGCTAAAACGGTGAGCTTTTTTGTTATTTTTTGAGGGTGCCGCTTACCCGACCTCTAGGCCAAACTCTAAAATGTCAGAAGTGGGAGTAGCGCAAGTATCCGTAGCCAAAAAATTGTTATGCACACTCACACCGCTTGAGTGTTTTGCAAGCCAGTGTTTTTCATTTCATGGCGTGAATCAAGAAACGACTACATGCGAAATTTAACTACGCGAGTATCTGCTACCGTAGTATTGCCGTAGTACTACGTGTAGGGCTTCTTGACGCTGGCCTCATCCCACCTCATCCCAATTATGGCGTCAATTATCAATCATTCGGCTTCGGTAGCAGACGATCCTCGAGCAGTTCAGCTAGCAGGAAGCGCACAGAGCAGAGGTAAAAAAAAAAGAAAAAAATACCGAGCGAAATGGTGCCGAAGTGGTGCCGAAGACGCAGGACAACAACAGCAAAGCAAAGTTTTTGTTGTGCGGTCTCACACCATGTCCCGAGTCCGCGGTCGCAACAAGCGCCCTGCCCCCGCCCCCGAGGACGACGCCGCTGCCCGCGTCTTCTCCCTCAATGCCCTTCTCCCTCAGCCGGCGTCGGTCGATGCGCCCATGGTCAGCTTCGTGGAACGCGTCTCCCAGGGCAGCAGACAACTCCAGCGCGAGAGTGCTCACATCGCACCAACTTCTCCAATCAAGCGGGCGCGGAGGGCCGAGCGCACCACACACATCCCGCCGCCCGAGCCCAATTCCACCAACAGTGCCGACGACGAGCGGTATCAGTTGGGAACCGACCACGACTTCAGCTGGCTTCCCGAGCCCGATTTTGTCGACGAGGGACCGCCTCCGCCCCCGCCTGTGGGAGCGTCAGGAGCCCGCCGCGCAGTCCCCCCTGCCGTATGTCTCTTCCAGTCACTCCATACCTCTCCCTCACCCACAGAACAGGATCCCGCCATGAGGGATTGGATGCTCAACTACCGCGACGTATACCTGCGGGCGCTGCTGCGTCATGAGGGCCGCAGGGGCGCGAGCGACGAGTGTAAGCAGTGCGCGGGACCACGGCGCGGCCGCGCGCAGGTGAGGTGTCGCGACTGCCACGGAGGCGAGCCCATGTGTGCAGGCTGTTGTGTGGCTGCTCACAGCTCCAATCCGCTTCACGTAGTCGAGGTACGCCGATCCCCTGAGGCGTTTCCTCGCGCGCGCTGACATGCATCTCAGGAGTGGACGGGCGTATACTTCAAGAAGAGCAGCTTGAAAGCTCTGGGACTGCGCGTCCAGTTCGGACATCTGCCCGGCGAAAGCTGCCAACGCCCGACCCCGGGGTCAGACGGGTTCGTCGTCCTACACGACAACGGGATTCACGAAGTCGCGGTGGACTTCTGCCGATGCACGAACCGCGAGGTGCCGTGGTTCTTACAGCTGCTCCACGGAGGGTGGTATCCGGCGACGACGGACTAGCCCCAGACCTGCGCCACCTTCGCCTGCCTCGCCCTATACCGTCGCATGTCGTTGGCGGCGAAAAAACCTCGGCCTACGACTTCTATTCAATCCTCGAGGACATGTCAGACTCCACGGGTCTCAAGCCTCCCGGGCGGTACCAAGTTCTGCTGCGTATGGCCCGCCAGTGGCGCCATCTGTGGCTCTTGATGGGTGGCGGACGCGGGCACGACCCAAGTGGTGTGCTGGGGACGGCGGCGGGGGAGCTCGCGATCCGTTGCCCCGCATGCCCGCAGCCCGGAGTGAACCTGCCGGAGGGCTGGGAGAACGCGGCCAAGGAGGATCGGTACGTCGTCGAGAGCATGCTTGCGCCGTGCAAGTGATTGACTTTTGCCCAGGTGCTTATACGTTCTCTTTCTCGCGCTCGATGCGTGCTTCCGGCTCAAGCGTCGCGCGGTCTCAAGCGAGCTGAAGGACCCGGGTCTTGGAACAGGCTGGGCGTATATGGTTGAGTGGGGCCCGTATCGCGATTATCTGGTGACGGTGACGGATCAGGCTGAAGTAAGTTTAACGGCCCCATCTGCTATGGGCCTGCCTGACGCGCTTCAGATCAGCACATGCATTGGACTGGCGGCGTTGGACTACGCCAACACAAAGTTCTCGCGGGGCTACGCCACCACTGGCGTTGGCATGGGTGTGTGCGCGCGCCACGAGTTCGTGCAGCCAAACGGGGTTGGCGATCTGCAAGCCGGGGAACGCTACGCAAACATGGATTATATTTTTGCATCACTCCTCCGACACCTCTCACCTCTGCTCCGCAAAATTGTATCCTACAACATCGTTTGCCAGTGGCGCAAGGATCTCAAGGCGCGCCTGGAGGAGCTTCCTCTGTTGGTCCGCTGCAATCTGCTTCTCTCACTCTTCCGCTTCGTCATCCCCAAGCTCCACATCAAGGGGCACAAGTTGCTGTGCTTTCTGCTCTTCTCGCTGAGCCTCGTGCCTGGGAGTGGCCAGACCGACGCCGAGGGTATCGAGCGGTGCTGGGCAAGCATTGGCGGCGCCGCCGCCAGCACGAAAGTCTGTGGGCCGGGTGCACGGGCAGATCAACTCGACGACCACTGGCACCACTGGAACTGGACAAAGCTGCTTGGCTTACGTGAGTGCTTTCCTTCGTCCACGGGCTTAAGCTGATTTTGGAGTAGCGGCCTTGCTTCGACGGCGCATTGACGATGCAAGAGTCGAGCAGGGGCGGTAAGAGGCCGCCTTTGAAACATTCAGTGTCGAGCAGGCGGAGAACGTGCCAGCATGGAAGGCAATGGTCGAAGCTTTTGAAGAGGACAGCACTCAGAAGAACCCGTATGAGGGGGAGGTTAAAGGCAAGTGTGCCGGCGCCGCATTGGCATGTGGGCCTGACGTTACTGCTTCCAGGGATGACGGAGAGTGAGGTGCGGAACAAGTTGGAGGAGGACGAGGAACGTGAAGCGGCTGCTGGTCGCCTGGCATTGCATGATGTCGGCCCGACGGCCTTTATGGTATCGGGACTAGAGCTAGAAGATGAGCAGTACGTGCATCTTCCGCCATGGGGTTCTCCCCTCATTCACCGTTGTAGGCGTTGCATTCGGATCCAGGCCGAGCTCCAGCGTACATCCACTGCAGCGTTGAAGATCAACCTGCGAGCGTCTCGACGCAAGCTGGAAAGGAGCATCGAGCAGTTCCGCGGCCTGCAGGCGACGTACACGCCAGGCGCGCTTGTCCACCTCCGCTCACTTAAGGTCGCCTCGCAGACGCCGGCCGAGGAGGTCCCGTTGGTCCTACCTTCAGCTTTGCCAGCAGCGCGGCGAGAGCTCGGAGGCTGCGTTGACGGGCTGGCAGAGACAGAGCGTGCGCTGCGGGATGCGCAATGCAGGGGCACGCTCGTCCGCCTCCGCCGTCAGCTGAACGTCAAAGCGCGGTTTTTGATTTACAAAAAGTACCATTCCAGGCACCAAGCAATGAATACCCGCTCTCGCACCTTGATCGCGCAAAATGAGAGCAAAATCCTCCATGAGTCTGAGACGTACCAAATGGGGTGGCGCGCGTTGTGCGCATTGACTCCGGGGGGCGAGGCCGCCGTTAGCTGGAGGAGGCTCCGAAAGGAAGACATTTGATGCATGGACGACGCCGTGCAGCTCTCGCGGAGGAAGGAGAAGGAGCGACGTGCGAGGGTTCGGGAGGAGGCGAGAAATGCGGAGCTGCTAAGCTTCGGGCTTGTGCCGCTCACCCGGTCCCGCATCAACTCCTCAGTCGAAAGCGCCCGGACGACGACGACGACCTGGAGGATGACTCGGAGGAGGTGGGGGAGAGCTGGAGGGAAATGTCTTGGATCTGGACGCTTGCAGGGACAGCGGGAGTGAGCGAGCAGGACCTCGAGGATGGTGGGCTTGTTTTCCTAGCTCTAGGTTCACATCTGACGTCTGGCAGCCCTGAGGATTGAATGGAGCAAGGCTTACTCCCGAACGAGGCGATGGCGTGAAGAGGTCCGCACCCTCGGAGAGGAGCAGCGTCGGATCCCTGTTTCCTTTTTACACCAGGAGCGGGTCTGGTTGAATCGCGCGACCGCGGTGCTGGTGGAAGACGGGGCCACGACTGCAGCAGAGGCTGAGGGCATGTTCGCATATGCGAGGGCCCAGGCGGACATGTACCGGGCTTTGGCGATGCGAGCGGAGGCGACGCGCACCCAGCCCAAGCTGCGCCGGGGTCAGCGGCGCCCGCGGGAGGCGATCAGGGTCGTGTCGTCTTGGCCGCTGGAGGGTGGGAATGACGACGATGTGGATGGTGACGAGGACGATGATGGGGCGAGTGAGAATGAGCTCGAGGAGGACCGGGTACTGGACGGTGATGAGGAAGACATGTGAGGGAGTGCGCAAGCGAAC